TAAATATTTTCTCCAGGGAACCTGTAGGAGGCAGATTTGAAAAGGACAAAAACCCTAGGTGTTTCAGGTAGATTCTAGAATAGAATTTGTAGATTCTAGATTATGTAAGTTGCAGTTGTCAAACACCAGGCACAAATTGGCTTTCTGCAACAGAAAAATTCATAAAACCTTCAGGTATGTTTGGATCCAGGATTCAATTGATGCCATCAAGAAAGTCTTGGCTGGGCATGGTCGCTCACACCTGTAATTCAGCATTTTGGGAGGCCAAGGCAGAAGGATGACTTGCGCCTGAGTTCAAGATCAGCCTGGGCAATGTAGAGCCTGTATCTACAAAGAAAAAAAAATGTTTTTTTAATTAGTTGGGTGTAAGCTGGGCATGGTGGCTCATGCCTGTAATCCCAGCAGTTTTGGAGGCTGAGGCGGGCAGATCACCAGAGGTCAGGAGTTTGAGACCAGCCTGACCAACATGGAGAAACACTGTCTCTACTAAAAGTACAAAATTAGCCGGGCGTGGTGGCACATGCCTGTTATCGCAATTATTCAGGAGGCTGAGGCGAAAGAATCGCTTGAACCCAGGAGACAGAGGTTGTGGTCAGCCGAGATCACGCCATTGCACTTCAGCCTGGACAACCAGAGCAAAATGCCATCTCAAAAAAAAAAAAAACAAAACTAGCTGGGTGTTGCGGTGTGCACCTGTAGTCCCAGAAACTCTGGGGGCTGAGGTGGGAGGATCACTTGAGCCCAAAAGGTAGAGGCTGCAGTGAGCCATGAACACACAACTGCACTCGAGCCTGGGTGACAAAGCAAAACTCTGTCTCAAAAAAGAAAGAAATGTCTACTGATCTCTTGACCTTTTTTTTCCCTTTTGAGACAAAGTCTCTGTTGCCCAGGCCAGACTGCAGCCTCAAACGCTTGGGCTCAAGGAATCTTCCAGCCTCAGCCTCCTGAATAGTTGGGACTACAGGCATGTACCACCATGCCCAGCTAATTTTTAAAAATTTTTGTAGAGATGGATCTTGAATTCCTGGGCTCAAGTGATTCTCCTGCCTCCACCTCCCAAAGCACTGGGATTACTGGCATAAGCCACTGCAGCCAGGCGTTTCTTAATTCTTCTGCGTTTCCTTCATTGTCAGCTAAATTATTCCCAAAAGATGGCAAAATGGCCACCAAGACCTCCAAGTGTATAACTTACTTGTTTAGCCAACCCAGAGGGGAATAAAAATTTCCTTCCCGATAGTTCTATCAAAGATCCTAGGATTGCATCTCAGTTGGGCCGACAGGTCACTAATCCCCTTCCACCCTGCAACAACCCCAACCAGTGACTAGCCTGAGGAGGCAGGGATATTGGAATCCTTTGATTTGCCCAGCCTGTGTCTTCTGCCCGCAAAGGAAATGCAAAATAAGGCAACCCCACCAAACCACATGGACTGAGAGACTCAGAGGAATAGTAGTTCCCCAAGGAAAAAAATCAGTGTTCTTTTTTTAACTTTTTTTTTTTTCATTTAACTTGTCTGTAAAAATCAGTGTTCTTACCAGAAGGAGGAAGAATAGCTGTGGAGCAGGCAAAATGAGGAGTCCACCACTACAAGGTGGGCTGCAGCCACAAGTAATGGGTGGGTCACATTCATGGTAATCCATACAGGTGGACTTACTCCCTACCTTTTTTTTTTTTTTTTTTGGAAACAGGGTCACACTCTGTCACCCAAAATGAATGCAGTGGCGCAGTCGTCTCACTGTCATCTCAAACTCCTGGGCTCAAGTGATTTATTTCCCCTTAGCCTCCCTAATAACTAGGACTACAGGCAGGCACCCACCATCCCTGGCTAATTTTTTGTAGAGACAGGGTCTCCCTATGTTACTCGGGCTGGTCTCAAATTCCTGGGCTCAAGTGAACCTCCCACCTCAGTCTCCCACAGTGTTGAGATTACAGGCATGAGCCACTTTGCTCAGCCTCTATCAGAATTTCTATGGATGGAAAAAAGAAATCCCAGTCCTCGTTTCTTCTTTACTTGTTGAGCCAGGGATAGTCATTTTCCACCCCTGGGTCACTTTTCCCCTTGAAGGGAAGGACTGACTTGGTGTAAAATCTGTCATAATTTAAAAATATACATCCTGGCTGGATGTGGTGGCTTACGCCTCTAATCCAAGCACTTTGGAGGCCAAGGCAGGCAGATCACCTGAGGTCGGGAGTTCAAGACCAGCCTGACCAACATGGTGAAACCCCATCTATAAAATATATATATATATATATATATCCATTGAATTGGACTCCATATTTCCATTTGCGCAGGCTAAATACCTTGGAGTCATCCTTTTCTCTTTCTCACACACACCTATCCATTTTGTCAACAGGTCCTGTTTTTTTTTTTTTTTTTGAGATGGGGTCTTGCTACATTGCCCAGGCTCAAGTGCAAGGGCACTATCATGGCTCACTGAAGCCTCAACTTCCCAGGACTGAAGTGATCCTCACACCTCAGCCTCCCAAGTAGCTGGGACTACAGGCACACGCCACCACACCTGGCTCATTAAAATTTTTTTTTTATAGAGACAGAGTCTCACTTTATTGCCCAGGCTGGTCTTGAACTCCGGGGCTCAAGCAATCTCCTCACCTCAGCCTCCCAAAGTGCTGGGATTACAGCATGAGCCACCTGACTCATCCCGACAGATCCTGTAGACTTTACCTTCAAATCCAGAATTCAACCATGCATGTCCCACCATCTCCCCCAACCTTGTGCAAACCATCAACATCTCTTGCTAAGATCATTGCCACAGCCTCCTGCCTGGTCTCCCTGCTTCCACCCTGGTGCCTCTGGCAGTTTATTCGCACCACACAGTAGCTCTGTATCTCATTCAAAGTAAAAGCCACACAGCCCTAAATGATCTATCCCTTTTCATGTCCTACTCCTATATCTATGCCTATGCCACACTGGGCTCCTTGTTATTTCTTAAACCCACCCACTTGGCTGGGTGCAGTGGCTCATGCCTGTAATCCCAGCACTTTGGGAGGCCAAGGTGGGCAGGTCACTTGAGGTCAGGAGTTCAAGATCAGCCTGGCCAAAAAGATGAAACCCAGTTTCTACTAAAAAATTAGGCCAGGCACGGTGGCGCACACTTGTAATCCCAGCATTTTGGGAGGCTGAAGTGGGTGGATCATTTGAAGTCAGGAGTTCCAGACCAGCCAGGCCAACATGGTGAAACCCTGCCTCCTAAAAAATACAAATACCTACCTCTTGGCCGGGCATGGTGACAGGCACCTGTATTCCCAACTACTTGGGAGGCTGAGGCAGAAGAAACGCTTGAACCCAGGAGGTGGAGGATGCAGTTGGCCAAGATTGCACCACTGCACTCCAGCCTGGGCAACAGAGAGGAAACTTCAGTCTCAAAACAAAAAACAAATAAACAAAAATTAGCCGGGCATGGTGGCACATGCCTGTAATCTCAGCTATGCAGGAGACTGAGGCAGAATTGCTTGAACCCAGGAAGCGGAGGCTGCAGTAAGCCAAGATTGCTCCCCCGTACTCAAGCCTGGGCAACAGAATGAGCCTCCATCTCAAAAAACTAAAATAAAATAAAAAGTAAAATAAAATAAACAAATACATCCTCTTGCCCGAGGGCTCTTGCACTAACTATTCCCTCTGCCTGGAATGCCCCCTTTCTCCAGAAATCTCACAACTGACTCACTCATTTCCTTCATGTGTTTACTCAAGTCAACTCTGAAGCCTACTCTGCCCGCCCTATTTAAAACTGCAACCCCATCCCTTTCCTGTTTTTCCTCCACACCAATCATTCCTTTCTAACATACCACAGAATTTACTAATTTTGTTCCTGTCTCCTCCCACTTGACTTAAGCTCTGTGACTAGCTATTAATGAAATATCTACTAATTCATTCAATTAATTGAATACTAATAGATGCCAAGCACTGTGCTAAGCAATGGAGCTACAAGTTGACTAAAATTGCTTATGTCTTGCGAGGGAAGAAATCCTAATGACAATAAATGTAGCTCATTTAGCGAATGCTTCTCGAAACATCATGACTAACACTGACTAAAACAGACTCGGGGCCGGGCGCGGTGGTTCACGCCTGTAATCCCAGCACTTTGGGAGGCTGAGGTGGGCAGATCACAAGGTCAGGAGATCGAGACCATCCTGGCTAACACGGTGAAACCTCGTCTCTACTAAAAATACAAAAATTAGCCGGGTGTGGTGGCGCGCGCCTGCAGTCTCAGCTACTTGGGAGGCTAAGGCAGAAGAATTGCCTGAACCAGGGAGGCAGAGGTTGCAGTCAGCAGATATCGCGCCACTGCACTCCAGCATGGGCGACAGAGCAAGACTCTGTCTAAAAAAAAAAAAAAAAAAAAAAAAAAAAAAAAAAAAAAAAAAAACTCGATTCTGCATGTACTATCTCATTTAACCCTGACTGAAACCTACACGGTGAGTATCAAGAGCCTCATCGTAAAGCGTAAAAAACAAGATTTCAAGGCTCGGAAACGGCAGAGTCAGGATTTGAACCACGGTGTTGACAATGAGAATGGAGAGTAGCGTCAAATGTGAGAAATATTTAGGACGTAGGCTCACAAAGACTAAGGCAATTATCGGATGTGGGGGCCGAGGGAGAGGGGGAAGTGACTCCTGGGTTCTGACTGGAGTGGACCAAAGTGCAGTGAGGTCTAAGAGAAGGATTAAGTGCGACGTGAGGCTGGGCTGGAGGTGCCCGCCGGCCGCTCAAGGGAATCAGAGAGGCGGCTCCGCACCCTCCCACGCCCGCCGCCGCCCCGGACCTTGAGATGCTGGGAGAAGACACGCACGGGAAGAGCAGGAGGTGGGTTCCGTTCCCCTCCCTCTTGAGTCTCTTCAGCAGCAGCTGCAGGAAGGGCGTGGGGGACCGCGAGACAAAGAGCACTCCGGCACCACCTTTGTCCAGGCGGGCCCTTTAAGAGGCGCGTGCCAGCTCCCAGCCCGCCTTGTATGCAAATGTAGCGGCGCGGCGGGAGCGCGCGGCTGATACCCTCTGGGCTGCGGCGGTTAGTCCTCTCCCGGCCGCCGTCGCCTCCGACATATTGCCCGCAGGAGCTGCGGCGGCGAAGCGGAGAGCGCCGGGGGGGAGGAGATGGGTGAGCAGAGCGGCTCAGGCTCGGCCCGGCAACGAGCGGGTGTGCGGGTTAGGATGGCCAAGCTGCTAATTGCTGCCCCACGCGGACAGAAGCCCGGCGACGGGAGGGGGAAGGGATGCGGGCGCAAACGGGATCCCGCCCCCTCCTGTCGTTTTGCGGGGTTGGGCCTTTGTTGTGGGGGCGGGACATTGGAGTGGTGGGCGGGGCTTTTAAGATGAAGGCCTGTGAGGGCTTTTAAGATGAAGGCCTGTGAGGGCTTGGGGTTTGGTGAGGACCCGCTGGTCTGAGTTAGAAGGGGGGGGCGGGACTGATCAGTGGGCGTGACTTCGGCGCTAAGGGTGGAGCTTCTGGGCTTCGGGCTGTAGTGCAGGCGGAGTTTCTGGGCTGGAGGGGCTTACACTGGGGATAGTGGGGCGAGGAGACTTCCGACTGAGGGAGCCTATTCTGGAGTGGGGCTTCTGGGCTGAGAGGACTTTTATTGGCTTGTTCTGGGGCAGGGTTTCTCGGCTGACAGTTGTGTGTAGGCGGAGCTTCTGGGCTGAGGGGCTTTATGTGGGTGCAGAGCTTCTAAAGACAGGAGAGTGGGTGTGGGCACAGCTTCTGGACTAAGGGTGTTTGTGTGGGATTTTCTAAGCCAAGTGTAATAGCGTATGAACAGAGCTTCTGGTCTGGGGGTTTGTGGAGGGCAGAGCTCCCCGCCAGGTACTTTTTAGAGACTCGTGGAGGTTTATAATTTTGGGCATACATCCAGGCCCAAAATTGGCTCCAAAGTGTGGGAAACTCTTCCGAGCTGAGATGCTATGGGCATGGGATGTATGTGAATGGAGGCTGCTGTGTTACTGTGAAGAGGTTTGAACAGGTTGTAACTTAAAAAAATATATATATATATATACATATATATGTATATATATAAAACTTAAAATATATATATATAAAACTTTAAAATATATATATATAAAATATATATATTATATATATATATATATTTTTTTTTTTTTTTAATAGAGACGGGGTTTTGGCATGTTGCCCAGGCTGGTCTCCAACTCCTGGCCTGAAGCGATCCTCCCACCTCGGCCTTCCAAAGTGCTGACATTACAGGTGTGAGCCACCATGCCCAGCGCCCAGGCAGGCTGTGACTTTTTTTTTTTTTTTGAGACGGAGTTTCGCTCCTGTTACCCAGGCTTGTTATCCAGTGCAATGGAGTGATCTCGGCTCACCACAACCTCCGCCTCCTGGGCTCAGGCAATTCTTCTGCCTCAGCCTCCTGCATAGCCGGGATTATAGGCACACACCACCATGCCCAGCTAATTTTTTGTATTTTTGGTAGAGACGGGGTTTCACCATGTTGACCAGGATGGTCTCGATCTCTTGACCTCGTGATCCACCCGCCTCGGCCTCCCAAAGTGCTGGGATTACACGTGTGAGCCACCACGCCCGGCCATGGCTGTGACTTTTTTAGGTGCCGCTTTGTGCAGAACTTTGTGCAAAGTGGTACATGGGAGCTTGGTCTAGACTGCTCAGCCTAGTAGGACCAAGTTTTTGGTCCACAACCACAGCATTCTCCCAGCCATAACCTTGACCCTTTATTCAGGTCCTGGGTCCTGCTCATGAGATACCAGGATGCCTATTGAGCTGAATTATGCGGCCCTGGAGGAGTTATAGGCCTCCAGAAACTTATGTCTGAATGGGCTCCAGTGTGTACCAGAGCTGAGACCACAAGTCCCAGCCACGATACTCTGTGACACAGTGTAAGCTGAGTTTCCTAATGTGTAGAAAACGTACCTTGCTGGGTTAATTCACTCATCAACATATACTTGCTGGGCACTGTGGTGTAGGGGATATAGCAGTGAAAAAGAGAAGGTAACTGACCTAATTGACCTTCCATTGTAGTGGGACAGACAAGCAATAAGCATGTTAACAAATGAATAAGGTAATTTCAGAGAGTGAATTGTGGTGGAAAAAAAGAATAGAAATTGCAGAGAGAATGATGGGGAGAGCTACTTCAAAATGTCAGAAATAGTACCTATGCAATAATCCTGCATGTTCTGCACATGGACCCAGAACCTAAAGTACAATAAAATATATATATATTTTTTAAAAAGTCAGAAATGGCAGTCAGGGAAGGACTTTCCAGATAGGATATAGCAAGTGCAAGAGGTAACAATGAGCTTGCTTGCTGAGGAAAGAAAGATCAAGATGTTTAGAGCATGGGGCTGGGGGTAGAGTGTGGGTGTGAGGTAGAGAATGATAGGGGATGAAGTTGAAGATATAAGAAGGGGCCAGATCATAGGTCTCAGTGAGGATTAAATGAAAAAATGGGATACTAGGTGACTGGTAGCCAGTATCATTGTTGTTATCCTTGATATATGCCCCCTGGCTTGAGGCTCTATTTTATGTTGAGCCCCACAGGAGGACGAAGAGGTCCCAACAGGACATCTTACTGTCGAAATCCGCTCTGCGAGCCAGGATCCTCAGGGGGCTCTGGTGGAAGCCACACTTCCAGTGCATCAGTGACCAGTGTTCGTTCCCGTACCAGGTAAACCACCTCTCTCACCGCCCCTCACTGTGGCCTCACAGCAACAGTGTGGACAGGGCTCTCTGGATTCTAAGATGTGATATCCTAGATGCCAGTGGGGGCTAAGAGGGGAGTAAGGAGCAGAAAAGACCCAGAGGGAGCTCAGTTGAGGTTGATCACATGGACAGATGCAGTGGGACATGGTAGAATAAATCCAAAGACCCGGATTCTAATTACAGTTCTGCTACAGATTTGCTGATGGTTTGGACAACTTGCCTACCCTCTCTGGGCCTCCTTTTCCTCTTCTGTAAGATGGACCTAATAATTCTTTCTCTCCTAGGGGGTGTTGGAAGACCTGAATAAGATTAGGGATAGGGAAAGGCAAGGCTGGGCGCGGTGGCTCAAGCCTGTAATCCCAGCACTTTGGGAGGCCGAGGCGGGTGGATCACGAGGTCAAGAGATCGATACCATCCTGGTCAACATGGTGAAACCCTGTCTCTACTAAAAACACAAAAAATTAGCTGGGCATGGTGGTGTGTGCCTGTAATCCCAGCTACTCAGGAGGCTGAGGCAGGAGAATTGCCTGAACCCAGGAGGTGGAGGTTGCGGTGAGCCGAGATCTCGCCATTGCACTCCAGCCTGGGTAACGAGTGAAACTCCACCTCAAAAAAAAAAAAAAAAAAAAAAGGAAAAGGCTTTGTCAGGTCCCTTGTCTGAAAAGCAGCATTAGGAAGACTCTGTCTTTGCCATGAGCTGCTTTTCTGATCTTACCCCACAATCCTTTGTCTCAGAAGCCCTTCTTGGTAGGGTTCTCAGGTCAGCTCCTGATGTTGTTCCCTCTTCACTGCCAGGAGCAGTTCTGGAACAGGCCTCTCCAGCCCGCCTCTGGCCACCCAAACGGTTGTGCCTCTACAGCACTGCAAGATCCCCGAGCTGCCAGTCCAGGCCAGCATTCTGTTTGAGTTGCAGCTCTTCTTCTGCCAGCTCATAGCGCTCTTTGTCCACTACATCAACATCTACAAGACAGTGTGGTGGTATCCACCTTCCCACCCGCCCTCCCACACCTCCCTGGTAGGTACCCAACAAGGGTGGGTGTGTGTGTGTGTGTGTGTGTGTGTGTGTTCTTTTGGTTTCAATTTAGCATAGCCTACCAAGCACCACTGTGCACTTGTCTCCATGCTGAACATGGAAGGTGCCGAAGGAACTGGAAGCCGATGATTCAGTGAATACTTCTAGTGTGTTTAGTACCACATACGGTACTGTCATTGTATTGGAGAGGAATCTGACACAGATTTTGCCTGAAGGAGCTCAGAGTCTTTTTGTTTTTTTTGGTGATGGAGTTTCGCTGTTACTGCCCAGGCGGGAGTGCAATGACACAATCTTGGCTCACTGCAACCTCTGCCTCCCAAGTTAAAAGTGATTCTCCTGCCTCAACCTCCTGAGTAGCTGGGATTGCAGGTATAAGCCACCACAAGTCCGGCTATTTTTTATTTTTAGTAGAGACGGGGTTTCACTGTGTTGATCAGAGTAGTCTCCAACTCCTAACCTCAAGTGATCCACCCGCCTCAGCCTCCCAAAGTGCTGGGATTACAGGCATGAGTCATCACACCTGGCCAGGAGCTCAGAGTCTTAATCGAGTAGTGTAGATGAACCACGGGCATGCATGAGTGTTTCAAGGGGAGTAAAGACTCAGTGCAGAAACAGTATAGGGACAGGGCCATGGGTGAGCAGAGCAAGAGGGCTCACATACCACTCTCTTATCCCCAGGGACTGTCCCACTTCCCTTCTCGGGGTCCTGTTCTACTCCTCTAGGTAATTTCCTGACCTGACTCAGCTGGAGGCCGATGAAGGTCAGAGAATGGGGACAGTCTCTGTGTAAGAAATGGGCAGGGGGAGGTGGGTATGAAAAAAGCCTGTGTATGGGCCAGGGGCCCACATGACCCCCAGGCCTCTGCCCCCTGACAGAACTTCCACCTGATCGACTTCAACTTGCTGATGGTGACCACCATCGTTCTGGGCCGCCGCTTCATTGGGTCCATCGTGAAGGAGGTGATTGGGTCCTAGAGGCTGGCCAGGGACTTTGGGATTCCCCTTTTCCCCTGGGGATGCTAAGGAGACATGCCCAGCCCTTCAGCCTTGGGGTATTTCCTTGGGGATCCCGTTGTACTTGGTCGAAGAACATTAGTTATATCCCATCAGCTCTTGGAGTTTACTGGGCATCAAAGAGAAGGATTTACCTTGCCATGTTCTGCCCAGCCTGCTGTGCCACCTCTCCCTGGGTGGGATCACAGGTTATGCTGGGTGGGATTTGGGCACAGCCCCTTCGGCCTCCATCCAAGGCCCCATCCCGTCCTATCTTGCCCTGACCCAGGCTTCTCAGAGGGGGAAGGTCTCCCTCTTTCGCTCCATCCTGCTGTTCCTCACCCGCTTCACCGTTCTCACGGCAACAGGCTGGAGTCTGTGCCGATCCCTCATCCACCTCTTCAGGACCTACTCCTTCCTGAACCTCCTGTTCCTCTGCTATCCGTGAGTACCCCTCACTTCACCCCTCATTGCCCAGCACCTGGCCCCTCACCTCTGCCCTGACCATGGCTGGCTCACCAGGCCTCCGATCTTGAAGATCGGAGGCAGGCAGCAACATCCTCTCACATTGTCTGATGACATCCACTGAGGTCAGGAAAATTAGCCTTTTTTTGCAGAAGAAACTGAGGTGGCATAATTTACCCAGCTCTCACTATGGGGGAGGTCAGAATGGGACTCATATCTGCATATATGTCCCAAAGGAGCATTCCCAAGAGGGAATGCATGGGGTTTGTCTCCCTCGCTCTTCCTTTCCCCTCTCTGGTTCTTTCCTTTCTCTGTGTCTCTCTTTGTGTATCTCAGTGTTTGTGTAATATCTTGGTATCTCCCCGAGTCTGTGTGCCTGCAAACAGCTGCACAGTTGCATGTCTCTGTATGGGTGTCTATGCATGAAGCATGCATGTGTGTCTGCATATGCATGTGTATATGTCTTTGTGTCTATTTTTGCTCTCTTTCTCCATCTCACCAGACCCCAGATGGTTGAGGATGGAGAGAGTGTGTCAGGGATGTGCCCAGGACTGCTCCTTTCTGGCCTTGCATCAGGGAGAGCTTTGGTGAGGTGTTGGATCTGGCTGCTTCTGGGGGAGGCTTCTGGCTACCTGAGCATTTACAGTCATTTCCCAACCCCCAGGTTTTCTGGTTCACAAAAAACCTCAAGCTGGGTCAACGCTGGTCTCTGGGAAGCTTCAAAGCTGGCACCTCTCCCTTTCTACTCTGCGTGACCAAAAAAAGCACTGGCATGGGAGCCCTGTCACACTTGCTTCAATTATATCTACTTTTTAATTATAAGAGGAACACATGGCCAGGCGAGGTAGCACAAACCTATAATCCCAGCACTTTTGGAGGCTGAGGCAGACAGATTGCTTGAGTCCAGGGGTTTGAGACCAGCCTGAGCAACATGGCGAAACCCTGTCCACTAAAAACACAAAAAACTAGCTGGGTATGGTGATGCATGCCTGTAGTTCCAGCTACTTAGGAAGCTGAGGTGGGAGAATCACCTGAGCTTGGGTATAGTCAGCTGAAATTGTGCCTCTGCACTCTAGCCTGGGCAACTGGAGTGAGGTCCTGTCTCAAAAAAAAAAGTGACATGTGTGTCTTATAAAAACATTAAACTTTACAGAACCTTTTAACCTGGAAAAAGAAAGTCCCATATAGTCTTAATCCCCCAGAAATTCATTACTGGCAGCATTTTTTCTGAAATATTTTCTCTGCAAGTACATGCACATGCAGGGTTTGTTTGTTTGTTTGTTTTTGAGACAGAGTCTTGTGTCACCCAGGCTGGAGTGCAGTGGTGTTATCTCGGCTCACTACAACCTCTGCCTCCTGGGTTCAAGCAATTCTCCTGCCTCAGCCTCCAAAGTAACTGGGATTACAGGTGTCCACCACCACGCCTGGCTACTTTTTGTATTTTTAGTAGAGATGGAGTTTCACCATGTTGGCCAGGCTGGTCTCAAACTCCTGACCTCAAGTGATCTGCCCATCTCATCCTCCCCAAGTGTTGGGATCACAGGCATGAACTATCATGTCTGGCCATGTGCAATTTTTTAAAAAACAAAAATGGTATTATGCTGTGCATGATGTACAATTTACTGTACTTTTCACTTAATCATATAACTTGGATATTTTTCTCTGGCAATACATACGGGTCTGTCTCATCATTTTATTTTATCTTAGAGATGAGGGTCTTGTTGTATTGTCCAGGCTGGTGTGCAGTGGCTATTGACAGGTCTGTTCCCACTACTGATCAACACAGGAGTTTTGACTGGTTCTATTTCTAACCTGGGCCAGTTTATTCCCTCCTTAGGCAACCATGTGGTCCCCCACTCCCAGGAGGTCACCATATGGATGCTGAACTTTGATGCAAGCACCTCACTAGCATAGCACATTATAGCCTAGAACTCCCCAGCTCAAGTGATCCTCCCACCTCAGCCTCCTAAGTAGCTGGAACTATAGGCATGCCCCACCACACCCAGCTGCCTCATTTTTTCAATGGCCTCGTAGTATTACATGTTACAGAATTTTCACAATTTATCTGTCTTCTATTGGCAGACTTTTAAGTTGTTCCTAGCTTTTCCTTACTCATAACGAGTCAGGAAACACTTTTTTGCATATATCTTTGCATATGTATCCAATATTTCTGATCAGTAGATTCCCAGAAGAATTACTAAACCAAAAAATGTATTTCTTTACATTCTCTGTATATATTAACAAATTACCCTTCAAAAGTGTTGTTCTGGTTGGAACTTAAGAATTGCCTTAGGCCTGGTGCAGTAGCTCATACCTGTAGTCCCAGCACTTTGGGAGACCAAGGTGGGCAGATCACCTGAGGTCAGGAGTTTGAGACCAGCCTGACCAACATGGAGAAACACCATCTCTACTAAAAATACAAAATTAGCTGGGCATGGTGGTGCATGCCTGTAATCCCAGCTACTCAGGAGGTTGAGGCAGGAGAATCACTTGAACCTGGGAGACGGAAGTTGCAGTGAGCCAAGATGGTGCCATTGCACTCCAGCCTGGGCAACAAAAGTGAAACTCCGTCTCAAAAAAAAAAAAAAAAAGAGTTGCCTTAATTTGACAGTTTATCGTTACTGCCTGGTGAATCTCTTCTCCCTGGGTACAGATAACACCCAATGTCCACATTATGCTTTATTTTTTATTTAATTTAAAGATCTTAATTGGACAAATATAATCATATTGTAAAAAATTAAATCCAGTAGTGCTAAAAAGCTTCTAATGAAAACCGTTGCTGGGCACATAGCTCATGCCTGTGATCCCAGTGACTTGGGAAGCTGAAATGAGAAGATCACTTTAGCTGGGGAGTTTGAGGCCAAAGTGAGCCATAATCACACCAGTGCAGTTCAGCCTGGACAACAGAGTGAGACCCTGGCTCTAAAAATAAATAAATAGAAAAACATTAACTTCCAACCCTGCCCTCCAGATTTTTAGTCCCACTCTTCAATAGCTATCTCTTTTTCTTTTCTTTTTTTTTTTTTTTTTTTTAACTTTCTGGGTTGGGTTTTTTTTTTTTTTTTTGGTAAATGATTTTCCTGCCTCAGTCTCCCAAGTAGCTGGGACAAAAGGCATGCACCACTGTGTCCGGCTAATTTTTATATTTTTAATAGAGATGGGGTCTTCACCATGTTGGCCTCGCTGGTCTCAAACTCCTGACCTCAGGTGATTCGCCTGCCTCGGCCTCCCAAAGTACTGGGATTACAGGCATGAGCCACCATGCCTGGCCTGTTTATTCTTTTTAAAAATTTATTTATTGGCCATTTTTTTAATTGATTTTAAAATTGGGTAATAGGTTTACATAGTTAAAATTCAGAAGGCTTAAAAGAGGGTACTATGAAAAAGTCTCCCCTTGACTGCTGCCTCCCAGCCACCCAGTTTCCTTTCTAAGAGATAGTCATCAATGTTTTTGATTTCTTGAATAACCTGGAAATAATTGTTCTATGCATATACAAACATATCACATACACACATATGCAAATATATTTGATTACCTGCAGTGTCAGATGATTCGGCTCACCATCCCATTGTTGCCGTTTGCACTAATTGATAGCTTTTAATATTTTTAATTTTCTGTTGGTTATTTTTGTCAAAAGAATAAGTATGCCTCTACTTTTTTTTTTTTTCATCAGCAATAGTCAATATCTTGAATCCTTTTTATGTAAGACAAGAATATTAGGCACCCTACCCAACCACTTTTCCTTCCCTCTTCCTCTTTTCACTTCCTGGAAGCTGTATTTTCACTTTCATATTGTCAAGCTTGACGTTCACTTTCTCCTATGTAACCACATTTAAGCCTTCCATTCTTTTGTCTAAGCCTAATTCTGAAAATAAAAAACTAATTAAGTGGCTTTGATATGATGATGTGTATGAAAATATAATTCACTGCAGGGCCCAGTAATATGTGTGGATGATATTTCTTTTTTTTTCTTTTTCTTTTTTTTTTTTTTTTGAGAAGGAGTCTCACTGTGTTGCCAGGCTGGAGTGCAGTGTTGTGATGTCGGCTCACTGCAGCCACTGCTTCTCAGGTTCAAGTAATTCTGCCTCCGCCTCCTGAGTAGCTGGGACAACAGGTGTACGCCACCACACTTTGCTAATTTTTGTAGTTTTAGTAAAGACGGTGTTTTGCCACATTGGCCAGCATGGTCTCCATCTCTTGGCCTTGTGATCCGCCGGCCTCGGAATCCCAAAGTGCTGGGATTACAGGTGTGAGCCACCGCACCCAGCCTGTAGATGATATTTCTTCTCTCTAGTTACAGAGTTAGAGTCTTAAACCTCTTTATTTATTTATTCTTTTTTTTCTTTTTTTTTTTTTTTGAGACTGAGTCTTGGGTCTTGGTCTGTCACCCGGGCTGGAGTGCAGTGGTGCAATCTCAGCTCACTGCAACCTCTGCCTCTCAGGTTCAAGCAATTCTCCTGCCTCAGCCTCCCAAGTAGCTGGTATTGCAGGTGCACACCACCGTGCCCAGCTAATTTTTTGTATTTTTAGTAGAGACACCTTTTACCACGTTGGCTAGGCTGGTCTTGAACTCCTGACCTCAAGTGATCCGCCAGCTTTGGCCTCCCAAAGTGCTGGATTACAGGAGTGAGCCACCGTGCCCAGCCAGGAACATTTTTTAAAATGACCTCTTTTTTTTTTCTTACTGATCCTTATAAAATGACCTCTTTAAAGGACCTGTACGCCCAGCTACTCAAGAGGTACAAGAATCTCTTGAACCCAGGAGGCAGAGGTTGCAGTGAGCTGAGATCGTGCCACTGCACTCCAGCCTGGGCAATAGAGCAAGACCCTGTTTGAGACACACACACACACAAAAAATGTTCCTAGCGTCCAGGTGAAGTGGTTTCTCTTTTCTCACATTCTATCAACAACTTAAAATCATAGCACATTTTAGTTTGCTTCATACTTAGATCATATCTTTCTTATATGGCTTTTTATT